ATAATATTTTTATAATATTTATTATATAATGTGTTTGTATTCCAAGCTTTCAAATGAAACAAATAATTATACATGCTTGAATAATATAACACATTGTATTGATTTTATTATAGCGCTTAGTGCCTATTATTTGCTTAATATTAATACCAAATATATTATATCAATTGTCGAATGTATAAGTGTTTCAAGTATGTACATTTTTAAGGCTTCCAAATAATATAATAATGCATGAAGTTTGCACTAAAGTATGATTTTATTTTTCTTTACTCATGATGCTTGTTGCCACTATTTTATTTTGTTTTTTAGTAGTACTCTTTATGATTATACAGTATACAACTTGTGCATTATTTAATATACTCTCTAATTTAATGTTTTTTTTAAAGAAGTTTTAATCTTTTAATTTTTATCTGTATTAAGGAATGAGGAAATTAATTATATTGATAGTTTTAGTAATATCTTTGTTATATTGTAGTAATGCATGATTTATCTATTATAAAATTTCTCTATATTAGGGTACTCATACTGATCTTGTAGTACAAATCATTCTTATTGCTGAATCTATGCGATTACAAGCTATGATGGCAACATATGGTATACAAACACAAACACCACACGAAGTGGAACCTGTACAAATATTATCATCTACACAATTGGTAAAAGTTTATGAAAAATTAGGAGTGAATAATAAATTAAATCTACAAGGTCGACCAGCTAGACCAATTGGGTCTTTAGGTACCAGCAAGGTATGTTTAATACATCAAATAAAGACTTCTAAGAAAAATTTAAAATCATTTTTTGTAGGTGTATAGAGTGTGTGGTATGACAGTTCTTTGTTATCCTCTAATATTTGAAGTGTCAGAATTTTACTTATATAGGGACATGGCTTTACTAATCGATGATATCAAAACTGAGCTTCAGTTTGTAGGTAAATATTGGCGACTTTCGGGTCGACCTACTGTATGTCTGTTAATACGAGAAGAACACATGAGGTATTTATTAATTTGTAAAATAATGAATTATATATTAAGATAACTGTATAGTACCACATGTATGAATCAATAAAAATGTTGCTCTTTAGAGATCCACAATTTAAAGAAATGCTTGATCTTTTTGCTATGTTAAAGAAAGGATATTGTGATAAAACAAAAGTAAGAATTGGTCGATTGCAAAATCTTATTTCATCTTCATGTATTGGTAAGTTGTATGTATTCCTTAATTGCCATTACTATTATCTATTAGATACTAATAGATAATTTTTTGTGTTGCATAGAACATTTAGATTTCGTAAACACTGTAGAAACAAATCTTGAACTTGCTCAATTTAAGCAGTTAGAACATGATTATATTGGGTATCAAAGTTTAACAGATGTACCTAAAGCTTTAGCTTATACAGAAAATATAAAAGATTATTCTGTAAGTATCTGTAACTAAATGATATTAATTTTCTTACTTATGTCAATTACTTTACATTTCAGAATTATATGAATGAACCATTATACAATATATTAAATGAGATTCGAAATAATAAAAGCCTTTATACTTTATGTCAACTTTATTTTATTTTGTTAAAACGAGAAGGTATTAACTACGAAATTAATGAAATGACAGGTACTAATTTACATTCTTAAAAAACGCATAAACTATTATCTTAAGGTAACAAGTATATTATGATATATAGTTACTTACTTTATTATTTTATTGTAGTTGGAGATCACTTGAAATCATTGTATCAACAAGCAGGTTGTCTCAGATATTGGATGGTCGTTCGTTATTGTAGTAGTTTATTAAACCATACCGTTGACAGTATAAGTCCTTTTATAACAGGAGTTCTTGTTAAAGGAAAACAGGTACTTTTGTTGAATTGATAATTAATTGAATACTTCTAATCCTTAAATAACATTGAATCTTTCATTCATCATTAATGTTAGATAACAGTTGGAGTAATTGGACAGGAAGAAACAGTATTTGATAAACCAATGACACCTACAGAAATTCAATCAGTAATGTATTCTACAATTCAACCACATAATGTAGTGCAAGCAGTACTTCAACAAGAGGTTTTATTATACTGTGGTAGGCTTATTGGAACAAATCCGGAAATGTTTAAAGGAATATTGAAAATTCGTATTGGGTATGTATACATTATACTATACTATTATACATATATGTATATAGTGTTAATGCTTTAAAAAATGTAATATTTATAATAAATATTACTAAACATCTTTTTGTTTGTTGTATGGATAGGTGGGTTTTAGAAGCAATAAAGCTTTATCTGCAAATGTTTGTTAAAAATTTTAAACCAATTGAAAATTATAGTCCATATGAGATTCGTCGATTTCTCATAAAAGTATTAACGGTTAAAGATTGGGCCAATGATGAAAAGTATATAAATTTATAATTTTTCATATAATATTTACTAATTTATCTATTGTGCATAAATTTACGTATATGTTGCTTTGTGAAAGACTTACAGTTTTAGGACGGAGAAAAATTGAAGGATGTTTATGTAGGGTACCTGCGCATTTTTATAATCATGTCTGGGAAGTATTAATGCGTTGTCCAGATGGTATTTCTGTTAATGGACGAGAATTGCCTCAACAACCTACTTTATCTAATATGACTCGCTCAGAACTTACGTTTGCCTTGCTTGTGGAGTCGTTACTACATCATATACAATTACCAGAGTATCGCCAAATTATCGTAGAGGTACAAGTTTGTTTGATAATTTAATATTATTGTTCTTAAAACTGGACACATCTTGATAATGTAATCTGATAATTTTTTAATTCAAATCAGACGTAAAGGCATTGTTATTAGCTTATAAAAATAAACGATATATTAATGCTTTTTTTTTGCAGTTACTTACCACGGTATCAACAATTTTACTACGAAATCCAGAATTAAGTTTTCAGAAACAGTTAAATCTTAATAAACTTGTTGAAGATAGTTTTCTTATGTATTGCAAGGTATATGTTATGATTATATGCATTATTTAAGTACATAAATTATGAATAAATTTATTATTATATCCCAATTTGTTTAGGATCACAATTTAGAGAAAACTACTGATCAGACATTATTTTTCTCTGCTCACTACTCAATAACTACAGGATATCTTGCTAGGGCTGTAGTTAATAATGTACTTACTGGAGGATGTTTTGCAACTATTCATGACATTAACGACGCAATTGAAAACAGAGAAACTTGCAAAATTACATAACGGTAAAAAATAGTTTTCCATTAACGTGAATTATTCTTTATAAATATATTAGAAAGAGTTTTATTTATACAAGAATATCAATGTATTTTCTTTACATGTATATATTTACTCAATAAAAAGTCAACTCTACATAACAAATAAAAAATAGTAATTATACCCAAAAATCTATACCCATGTATCAATAAATTACACAATTATAGATATATTAAAAGATATACAAATATATATTTTGTAATAATGAACGTATAAACTTCTACAATTCTTTTTGCAAAAACTTAAATGAAATTTACATAATTGTACCCTTAGTTGTATTATTCGAAATCACCTTTTGGCAAAATTCGTGTCCATTGCTCTTCCAGATCGTTGAATATTATTTATATTTGCTTTAATTCTTGAAGCAACTGTACCTACTTCAGCAGCAGCTGCTAATTGTTTTCTCACAAAATCCTGATTGTACACTTTTCCATTGTCTACTTCTTCTTTTTCTTCTTCGCGATATTTTTTAACATTTCGTTCACGTTCTTTATCTCTCCATGTTGCATTTGCTATCATTTCTTGCCTACGTCGTTCTTTTTCTTCTTCTGTAAAATATTGCTTTTTTTGGGAAATCCACTTATTTTTATTCCTGCTTTCTTCTTTATAACTTTTTGTAAATGTATCAGAAGGAAATTTAGTATACATTGTTTCTTTTCGATGCAATTTATTTAAAATATGTCTACTCTCAATATCATTTCTGTTATTGTAATTATTTTTATGGGAACTACTTTCTCTATCTCGAGGACTTCTTGAGCGAAAATCTTTGTCTTTACTTTTATATATGTCTCTTTTACGTAACCTATCTTTTCTTTCTTGAATTGAAGCATCATTACTTTCTCTGCTTGAACTACGAACTCTAACACTTTCTTCACATATTTCATGTTTTCTTTCTTCTTCATTATCAACTTCTTCTGAATATTTTTTAATTTTAACATTATTTTCTTTACTTCTGCTTTTTTTTTTATGCTTCTTCTTTGTGCTTTTATCACTTAAACTTTCTTCATTACTACTTTCTGATTCATTACTAGAACTTTCGCTTTCCCTTTTTAATTTCTTCTTTCGTTTATGTTTAACTTTTTTCATTGATTTCATTAAATCTTTATCTCTAATTTTATCCTTTAGTTGTTTGTATTTGGTAGTCAATAATAAGTCCAATTGTGCTTCATCATCACTATCTACATCCCGCTTGTGTTTCTTCTTCTTCTTTTGTTTTTTTTCACTTTTGTTCTTTTTAGATTGCTGTTCTAACTAAATAGTAATTAATAATATTGAATACATAATTGATAAATAAGTCACTTGTTATTACAGTATATGCTATTAATTAATTATCATTTTCATACCAATTGCCTTAATTGTTTCAATTTTACAGGATTTTTTAGTAATTGGTTTCTTGTTTCCATTTCTTTTTTCTTTATGGCATACAAAGGATCTTCTTGCATTTTTCTTGCCAAATCAACTTGTTCATTACCAGAAAAGAAACGTAGTGATGGTGGAATACATTCTAAAATTACAAATACATCAGGTACAAGACAAAAATATACATTGATTACTCATCATTATGAATTATAATATTATATATACATATAAAGTTTATAGCATGAAATACCATGTTCAACATGATTTCTGGGTGTTTGATTTAATTCAGTATCCTTTTCTGCTTGAACCATTTGTTCAAAAGGTTTATCAATTGGCCGTCCAAGTAAATATTCTTCTCTGTTAATTAACTGGTTTGGTCCTTTATACATCCAATCCAACTTTTTGTCATCCTTCTTTTCTATTACACCTTGTTCCATTGCATATTTTTTCATATCTTCCCGATCTTTTTCCATTTCTATTTCTTTTTTTAATTCAGCTATTTTTCTCTTTTCTTGATTTTGTTGTTGTTCTGCTTTCCAAACTTTTTCTATATTTTTCATGGTAGATGGATGCCATGACTTTTTTAAATTCTACTTTAACAAATTTATAATTTTATTGAACAAGTACAATTATTACATTTTTATTTACGCAACGAAATATATTTTTATTTAACCTGAAATTGTGATTCAACTTACCAAATCACCACCACCCATTTTTAATACAGGATAAGATACAAAATTAAATGTATCATTATAATATGCAAATTATTATAATACCATATTCTTTCATGAAACTGAAGCAACGATCTTTGTCGAATCCTTAGAACTAACATAAACGCACAGCAGCGATGGTCCTGTGCGAAATGGCGTACGATGCGCAAATGAGATGCGTGAAAATTATTCTGACAGCAGCTGTCCAACAGTTCGTATTGATACAGACGAGATATATGTAGAGTAGACCAATCATCTTATGGAACTTTGTGTCACACGATCTGAAATATCGACGTCGTCTAAAACTACTGGTTTTAAAGCGCACTCTACGCTTAAGAACAGTCATTTTAAGAATTGCATCGCGCAAAACGGTCGATAAAACGGTCGTGTGTACATTGTCACTATGTGTAACGCAAATGTGTCTGAATGAATCCATTCTGATTCATCCTAAGATTCGAAATTTTATCTTTATCATTATTTAAACTAACAAATGCCAAGTGTTCTTAATTTCAATTCCCACCGCTAAAACGCAGTATCCCTATAACAGTCCCAATCGATATAAAAGGATGATGGTAACGGGGTTCCGGAACCCCGGGGTTGTGTGACAAGAAAATACATTGGATGAGTGGTCTACTCTATATCTCGTCTGTGATGTTAGGTTTTTTCTGCAGTCGTCTGAGATTTCACGCTTATCGGTAAAATGAACAAATGAAAAAACAGATCTATCGATCCGATCGTATCACTTAAAATCAATTATTATAAATAGATGACTGATATAAATTGATATAGATTGAACAATTCTAATCTACTCGCGGCGACGAAGCGGTTCTAACCAATTTAATGATTCAGTTTGCTCGCACATTGACCGATCTTTGAACATGGTTTAAAGATATTTTAATTAGCGTTTGTTTAGTCGTGTACCGAATGTTGAGGCTGCAACTGGTGTTTCTTTCATTACACCCCCTTAACAAAATCATACAAAATGGATTCTCCTTTTACGATACTGTTAATGATGAACGAATTATATAAAACGATATTTTCTAGCAAACGTATCATCTTCAGAGGAGTAATTCTGAGAAAACCAAAATATTTCGTATACAACGCGAGTGTAACATGTATTATTTTCAGCTGTACAACATGAAGAATTGAAAAGTTGGGAGTCTGTAAACGTGCTGTATACCCACACTATCTACTAGTCTAAATCGCGCCTTAGATTTAAATATTAGCCTTCCTTGCTCATTTTGTAAATACCTGATAACCAATGATTTCATCCTTTCCTTACCACTCATCCTCGAACCTCGACCTCATCCTTTCCTGACTAACTCCGTCTCATCCTCGAACCCTGCCCTCGGTATATCTAAACCCTTCCGAATCCTAACTCCCACTCCTCAAGACACGAATACATATGTATATATGGATTAGGTCCTTTCTCTAAAACCTCAGATTTTAGTCCTGCTACCATTACTTACGCAGTTTTGTAAGACTACTGTTCAATCCGCTGATAATAACGTACTTTGTTAACATGTCTCCATTCCGTGATATTTATACGATACACTTAATAAACGACCAATACACGGAATACAACAAACATTCAGCAGTAGGAAATAACTAAACGTTTCTCAGGATACGAAACTGACGGCGGGATATCTGACGATACTGGATCTGACAACCCTCGAAATCGACTCAACCTTTAGGTATCTACGTTCTTGCGGATTCAGTTTCAAAAAATATCGCAGGACCTGCCGTGACAATTTCGTTCGCGATTGTATCCATGTTCTCAAATACGATTGGTGTAGAAAAATTGGAAAAGCGAATTGGAAAGGATAAATTATTTTTTGTTACATAAGCCTATGTTACGCGGATTTCGGCGCAAGAGTTCCACGTACTGGATCGGCTTAGGTATACAGCTGTCATAATGGATGAATTTATGGCTTTTCTAATCGATTGGACTCTAATACTAGAGTATGTATTTCGGCATAGTAAAATTAGGAAAAACACGAAACCTTTTGAGAATGGTAGTCCTCTAAAGAAGAAACATAGGAAAACAACTACTTTCCTAGGTGTACGTAACATATTTTCTTCTGTATTTTACATTTAGAATAAAAATTTCATATAAATGTATAGATACTAAATCTACTAATTAAATTAAACTGACTAAGCTAAACCTTTGTTCTTAAAGAGCAAATAGAGACTTAAGATCATTGAGTGTCAATTTTGAGACAGTAGAGTTCTTATCACCGCTGAGAACATTCTGAGCTATGTTCAATTTCCTTTCTTGTAACTGTTTTATACGCTCTTCTATGGTATCCTTACAAATAAACCTGAGAAAAAGTACTCGAAATAAGGTAACAATCTTTTCTACACGTCTCGACAGTGTTAGAGGGCAATGAGAAATACTAACTTGTATATAAAAACGTTTTTCCTTTGTCCGAACCTATAGATTCTATCTTGAGCCTGTACTTCTAATTGCGGATTCCAATGAACGTCTATTAACAATAAATGATTTGCGCCTACCAGGTTTAATCCAACACCCCCGGCGGTAAGCGAGAGTAATAATATTTTTGGATCGCTATTTGGAGTATTAAATGAATCCATTACACCCTAGAAGAATATATAGGAATCAAACGATTGGGCATAATCAAAAATTCATATTTTATCGCAACTACCTGTCTATCCTTGATGGGCACATTTCCTGTGAACATACTGAAAGTAGCACCGTGGATCAAAGATAAATAAGACGCTATAATATGTAGTGTACTTGTCCATTGAGAAACAATGATCATTTTATCATTTTGTTGTAAAATTTCCTCTACCTTGTGGAACACCATCTTCAACTACATCCGAGATACGTATAAATCAATTAAATACAACAAATTAATGAAAACATTTTGTAATTCAAAACGTATAGAACAGAGACAACCCACCTTGGAACTTATACGATCAGGTTTGAAGACAGAATTCTTAGACGTGAGCAAATTTGTAGCTACTCTGCGATCAACGCCGATTTCTTCTTCATTGTTTTCTTCTAAGTTATTTTCAGAGTCCTCCAATGTTATATTACCTATTTGTGATACTAGGTCTACATTTTCTATCTCCATTATTTCAGTCTCTTTCATGACATTTTGATCCAGCATCGAATGAATGAGCGATGGATGAACGCAAATTTGACGTAATCTCAGTAAAAGAACCAGAATTTCGTGGGCTTTCACGTCAGCATGTAACGACAATAATTTATTTTGTGCCTTCGTAAACTGAGTATTTTTATCTGAAAAGGGAAAGCGAACAATTATTTCAAAGAATTATGTACCGTACAACTTAATCACGTACTTGGGTTCGAAAGAAAGGATGGTTTATCGTATCTTCCACTATTTAGATCAACCATGTGATCTTTCTCTGCCCTTTGCGCCAAAAATTGCGCGAACAATGTACGAGAATAGACTAATACTTTTTCATATACCAACTGTTCCTGCGAATCAAGCTTTACAAATATCTCCTCTATAAACTTTTCCGGCAAACTTTCTAATCTGCCATTAACTTGAAGCTCTTGCTTCGTTCTACGCAACATTAACGTTTTCATCACAGTCGCCAATCGTTGACAACCAGCGGCATTTTTGTTATCTACCCAACGTTTCCATACTTGAAGGTTATCAAAAGGTGAACACTTCAAAAACTTTAAAACAGAATATAAATCCAACTCGCTGTTCTGAATAGGTGTACCAGTAAGAGCCCACCGTTTTCTTGCTAAGAGACCACATACTGCTTGGCAAGCTTGACTTTTATGATTTCGAATTATATGCGCCTCGTCCAGTATAACGCGTTCCCAATGAATCTTATATAGTGTAGAGTTTGACTTAAATTCACGGGATAAAATGTTATACGTCGTAATAACTACATCCTTTCTCGCTAATCTTTTTGGCACATGTTCTCGATTTATACCATGATAAACTTCAACGGTAAGCATACCACATTTGCATCTCTGATTTATTTCCTTTTCCCATTGCGACAACAAAGATGCTGGACAAGCCACAAGCGTACCTCCTTTATGTCGCAACGGTTTATCATTATCCATCCATTCATCGTCACTGCAATCTTCCATCTCTTTTAATTTCATTTTAGCGATGCTTGCTACAATGAGAGATATCATTGTTAAAGTTTTACCCAAACCCATATCATCGGCAAGAACACCGCCGGGAGGTCTTTGTTGCTCCCTCCAGATCAACCACGCCAATGCGTGTTGCTGATGTGGCATTAACTTCACTTTTAAGCCTTTTGGATCTTCCGCTTTTTCATCCTCGGCGGGTCTAGCTACGAGAGATCCGTGCAGATCTTGTAATCTATCAACTGTCAAAGCTAATTCTTTGTCGAACGTTGCTTGAGCCATTTTTCCGAGTTCCTTGGCTTCTCGAGATGATCTCGGTTTGATCGATATACCATCTACATCGTAACAAGTGTCAAATTTGTCGGCATGTGATTCTTCCTCAACAGTAAATCCTTCTTTCATAGAAGATATTTCTTCCTTTTCAAAATATGCCTCAGTTTTATCAGTTTGTGTTTCTGTTAAAGGCGTGTTCTCCAATTTGACTGCAATTTCTTCTATTTGCATTTCTTGCATGGCGATGCACTCACGCAATTTTGCTCCTTTGTCTGGTAACGAATCGATGTTACCAGTAGTGAACAATAACTAAAAATGTTACAAAAACAAAGAACAAAAACTAGAACAATAACTACAGCACAGCATATACAAAATATATTTTGTTTTATCAGTTCTACACATTAGCTGTCAAATTTACCTTTGTTTTACTTAATTGATTTTGTAATTGTTCCATTTTACAAACAAGAAGAGCTCTTTTCTGTGCAATTAATGGATCTATATTACCAACGCCAATTTCTTCTTTTGCTAAAGACACTGCAACTTCAGACTCCCAATCACTTTCTTCATCTCTATGGGAATCTGCAAATGAATGTAACATTAATTTCACGAATTTGTAGCATAAAATTCTAGTATAAAAATAGAAATATTTATACTTGTATCAGTTGATGAATTTGATTTTTGATGCTTTATTCTTTCTTCAAAGGTGTGTTCATTAATTGAGCTGCTATTATTCGATCCACTTTTAGATGTACTAGGACTAGCAATTTGAAAATCATCCTTGTTCTCCTTTGAAATATTCTGCCATTTATTTCTTTTGATTATTTTACCATTGTGTTTTGTCACTTGTTTAATATCATCTAAGGAGTAAAATGATTACAATATTCATTCAATGTTATTGTGCTTAATAAAATACAATACCATTTGAAATATTGTCATCAGTGTTACATTCTTCGCTACTACTGATTGATACAAAGTCATCTTCATTATGGTCATTGGTGTTTTCATTGTCAAAATAAGAAGGCATATGCTTTCTAATTCTCTGCCTGATTGTTTCTTCTGTTAATGACAATTTTTCAGACAAAGGAAATTTAGACCTTAAAAAGCATAATTAAATATTAAACAATACAGTATTTTAAAATAAAACAGAACTGAAAGTTAATAAAAGCAACTGCTTACTTTTCAGGTGTTACATTTGGAGATATATTTACACTACTTCCGCTACTTTCGATTACAAAAACTTGCTCTTTTTCTTTATCTTCATAAATATCTTCCTCACTGTCAGAAATCACAAAAGATATATCCATCTCACGAACTTCTGTAAATTTTGTTAGTTCTATGTAATTTTAGGAAAGCGTAAAGATTTTCTGTTAACGGAAAATATAAAGAAATGTTTAGTTTTTACTAAAGAAGACAAATTATATTTGTTTGATGGTAGTTTTAACTGAAACTTTTTAAACTGGTAAATATGCCGCGAACATAGACTACACATTAATATAGTACGACGTATTATTTTGATTTATATAACACCACATAAATTAATATTTTGAACAATGATTGTACTAATTAAAGAAATGGGAATAAATACAAAAAACATACTAAAATGATATTGTAGGAAGTTAGGTATAGACCTAACATCTTATAGGATTTTGTGTCTGCAACACTGGGGCTAAGGAGACCCTTATCATTTTCGTGTCGTTTCCAACGTTACCGATTCAGCATAAAATAAGTTTACAACCACAGACGAGGTACAGAAATAGATCTTATACCTAATGTATTTTGTGTCTAACGTTCTGAAATACCAATCGTGTAAAAAACCAGAACTTTTGTTATGCTCCCTACGATATGAAGCGGTGAGTTTACGAATTACATACAATCCAACCATCAAAGATAGTAAAGTCAATAAATGTAAAAAATCCTCTTTTATTAAATTTGCATATAAAGATACATACATATATTGGATTGTGTGGGTAGAATTGTTCACGATCTTCTGACAGCAGTAGAACACGCGCATGTATTGAATCATCTACTAATAAATAATTACGTTACTTTCTTATTTGTAATTTCATAGTTACGTTTAATTCCAATTCCAACCACTACTAATGTTGTAATCTTATTCTCTACTGAATCGGTAACGTTGGTAGCGACACGAAAATGGTGAGGGTCTTCTCGACCCCATAGTCCCGGACAAAAAATCCGAAATGATGCTAGGTGTATCCTGTACATCGTCTGTAATTACAACATTAGTGGTGGTTCTAATTAAAACTAAATGAAACTATGAAATTACAAATAAAAAAATAATGTAATTGTTTATTAGTAAATAATTCATCACATGCTCGTATTTTACTGCTGTCAAAAGATCGTGAACAGTTCTACCCACACAATCCAATATACAAGGAAGGAAACAATAGCAGACTCACGGTTACTGCGATGTAATACAGAAATAGATCATCAATACTTGCGCGATGTTTACAAGATCGCGCAATGAATTGATACAAAAAATCAAGGATGCATCTACTGAAATGAAACAAAATAATAACGAAATTTACAGAGTAATAAATTCTGTTATCTGATGTCTTCTGATATTTTCTGATGTCAGTCTTGCATTGTCATAAATGGTGGACATTTTTGAGATGAAGTATTAGTTGTTTCTTACATAAACAGAATAAACGTAAGTATTGATGATCTATTTCTGTATTACATCGTAGTAACCGTGAGTCTGCTATTGTTTCCTTCATTTCGTATTACTGCCATAACTTTTTAACGAAGCTCTAAATGACCTATGTTTGTATAACATTTTTTTTTTATTTCGACCCATAGAATATACTGACAACGTTTGGCCATTAAAACCTGGGACATCCTGTAGAATTCTTAATTATTATATTTCGCAGAATATATTCCTTATTCTGTTAATATAATGTTTAATCAAAAATTAAGTACATATTTTCTAAATAAAGTATTTACTGCATTATGTCCTTCCTAAAAATGTTTATATTTATAGTCACAAAATATTTCATACTATATTGAATCTTGCCACAGTAAAATTACAATTGTTATACGTTTGAAAAGTTACTAGTTATAATTCATCAAAAGATAAATAATTTATAGGTTAAAATTTTCGCGTTATAGAAATGGCACTACTGAGGCCATGGGTTATGTACAATTACTTTACTAAGATAGTAAACCGAATGTTATTTTTTGTACTTATTTAGAAGTTTTGTCAGTGGTCGAGTTTCATCACGTTCTGGGATATGTACTAGTAAATCAGAATGATTTGGATACTTGAAAATATCAAAGTATGACGTGGTAATGTGATATAACAAGATAAAGGTGAACAAAGTGTACATTTATTTAATCTAAGAGTTTCTTACATGTGATGAGCAGTGTACATGAAAATTCGTGGTCTTGGATAGAATATTTGGTGGAAACGATCAATAAACTTACTCATGACTTAGTGAGCTTAGTGTCCACAACGTTTGAATTAACGTTTCATCCGACTGATGGTGTTATTGATGATGAACATCAGCAGAAATTATCTGATTTTTTTCACGGATTTGTTGCTTTGTTAGCATTTGACGATTTTCAATTACAGTTATTGAAAGTCTTCTTATTTACATTTGTTAGTGTCGTGGCTCTGATTTTCATTGCTTGGCACATATACGGTCCTAGAATTTCTGAACAATTTATGGAACCAAGTAAGAAAATTTATATTTTGGTTTTAATACGTCGATGATCGATGGTGTGTTTCGTATTAAGTAAAAAAATTAAGAGTCATTTTGTACATACAATATACAAACTTACTTCCAATATAATAGAAATTGTTACGTTTGATTAGTTTTAATGTGTTTGGTTACCTAAATGGATTTTGATCTCTGGTATAATTAGTTAATATAAAAGTAATAATTAGTTAAAACCCAATTTGGGACAATTAGTTAATATTACTTCGAAAAATTTAAACTTCTTATAATATAAACTGGATTGTTTTGTTGATAGAAATAGAATACAATTTGTTCATAAATTATAAATAAATTATTTAGAATTTTGTAGCTGATCTTATTTAAAAAATTTTTTAAAAATACAACAATTCATTAAAGTATGCATTATAATGTATTAACTTTTTTACATAAGATTAATTTGAATATTATCATTGCCTTGTGTACCAATTTAGGCAGATAATGAATTGGTTTATATACAGACATTGGAGTAAAACATAATTTTGAACAAAGTTTCATTTTTTCATAGCAGTAAACTTTGTTCTATATCATCCTACTTTTATGTAGTATTCAGGAGTACAAGTAATGCTTTATGAAAATTACTGAAATAAGGTAAAAATGAAGTAAGGCAAAAATTGAAAAGTGCAATTGCATCTTCTTTTTAAATGGAATCTTATACTTTTGGGTACATAAACCCTTTAATGAGAGTATCCGTAAACAGAAGGTTTATTCCTATTTAATAAGTGTTCTTTATAATGAAAATTTCTGTCTAATATGGGGCTGCTAAAAACTTACATCTTGTATGAGAAGTAAAAACATAAAAATTGTTTTAACATAAAGAAAGATATATTTTACATGATAACACATTAAAATATTAATAATTTGTTTTAGTGTAATAAGCATGAAAACAATTTTCTTCTGCAATGGCATATTACAAATGCTATACATATACACAATATCCCTTATATTAGCATAACATATGTGACATCATTTTTTTGTAAAGTTGTTAATTGTTTCCGATTTTATTCTATATAATTGCTGCTTGTTTAAATTTCTGGATAATCTGTTTGGCAAATCCTTCTGTGGTATGTGATTTGCTGTACATGTAAAATAATTCATGTATTTATTATAATCCATAATTGATATT